AGTTTAACTCGTTGATGTTTATCATCCCATGATTTAACTCCCATCTGTTAATTTGTTTTTTACTATTTATTCTGGCTAGGCATGGATCACCCTTGGTAGAGCTCAGTTAAACTTTGGGGAGCCCGATTGTGCCATTGAAAGCTTTGACAAAGCATTAGCAATTAAGGTAGCAATAAAAGATGTTTGTTTGGCTTTTGTGCTTGGATTTGTTTTCTTCGATCTTCTAGTGCACAAGGCTATGCTTTTGCTGTGTCTTCTTATAAATGTGAATATGGATATATGCTGGTTTGAATGATCAGAGCAGACTAGAGCATGTTTGGCTGAGCTTAGAAGTAAGTAGAAGTTACTTTTAAGTAACTTTTTATTTTCCATTTGGATAGGTTTTTCTTTTTCTATCAAGTAAAAATTTTTTTTTTTAAAGTAACACTCTACAGTCAAAGAAATAACTAATTCCAAGTTTGACCAATAAAATAGTTTTTATTTTTAAACAAAAAACTAATTTATGTATAAGTAAACATTTTAAGCTTAGTTAAACATGCTCTAAATTGGTATTGTATAAGTCGGTGGCACCAAAGGACAAGTAATTTGACTCATTCACATCTAGATCGTGAATGCTTGGAATCCATATTATGTAAGTAGACATTGCTTCTGCTAATTCGAATTGAAAGGTGATTGATACTTGGAGCCATGAAACACGCTAAGAGCATTTTTGGGTGTGCTTAAATTTTATTTATTTTTAGTTTGGTCAAAATATACTTTTTATCTACACATTTCCCATAAGACCCACAACTTACTAACTACTTTATTATCTATACGTTCTATAGAGCCCACAACTTATAAACATTTAAAAGTAATACCAAACAGGCACTATATTTCTCAAGCACACTTTTCCTGTCAACCTAGGATGTGTTGATATCATATTCCGCGGGTAACACTAGTGAAGTAGCTTAATGGTTTTTATTTACATAGTTTCTTAAATGTTTGCTGCCAAATATGCAGCCGGATTCTATGGAAGCAAAAGGGGACAGGCAAACTGCTTTACATTTGGTTAAGAGGCGAAAACAGCTTCATTCAACCGGATTGAGTTCGACTGAAAACCGTTTTCTCATTGGAGATCAAGGCTAAAGCTGTTGAACAGAAAATTCTGTATGTACTATAAGAGCGTGTGTTATATGGTAAGATCTGGCTCAAACAAGATAGCCTTGCTACAATAGTGGTATCTGCGTGTATTTTGTTTCTTTCACTTTATTTTTAATTCTTTTTTTGAGGCTTGGTGGTTTTGAGGCAAGGTAAGTTACCTTATATGCGAGCTCCTATAGGCTATAGATTGAAATCTAAATCAAAGTTAACAATTAATCTCTCTCTTTCTCTCTCTCTCGCCTTTTACCAAAACATTAACCCTTCTAATTTTTTAAAATTTGTCTATAATATTCAACAAATTATCACATATACTATAAATCTTCACTTTTGAGGCAAATTTTCAACTAATTAGAATCTAAATTTGCATTTTTTTCTGTCAAATTGTGTATATAGAATGTGTCTGAATTGATTATGTTCAATTTGACTTATATTTAATGAATTGTGTATATTTGATTGATTGATTATTATTGAATATTGATTATGTTTTTCTTTTTGATTATTTGAATTGATTGTTCGTATGAAATACACTATAAATTTTTTAAACGTAAAATGTATTTTCTTGTGTTAAGCAAAATATTAATATAATGATCGTTTGAAATCAAATAGATGAAAATGATGATCAAAATATTAATGAAGAAATTTGTTTAAATGTAAATCTGCATTTTCTCGGGTCAAATATGAATCATTCAATAATTAAGAACAAAGTATTCAGTTTATATAGGATTTGATCGTGCCCCTAATTCAAAATTTTTGCGTCAGTTTCTGACCACTTTTATCTGATTTTTATCTACATAGTCGGTAGGTATCACAGCTTATAATTTGCAAAAAAGCTTTACCAAACGTAGACTTAAAAAACACATCACAGGTTGATCGGGATTTCTGGTTGCATGGTTTTTTGGGAAGAAAAAGAAAACTCTTGTCAAGTAATGATTCAGCCTCGGTATATATTACCCTAAGCTGTGTATACATTTCGTCGAATTCTTGTTAATTTCTTGATCTATTCATGTTTTGAACTTTACGCATCATTTAAAGCAAACGTACTGATGGAATGTTGGGTTTCAGGCAACCTACACAAGTACCCTTTTAAAAAATCGTATGAAAAAATTTTTGGCAGTAAAAAATATTGTATAATATGAAAAAAGTTTTTTTTATAAAAATTGTCACTTTTTAATTAAAAAAAAGTTACACAATGCCACTTTTAAAAGTTATAATTATCACTTTTTTTTATTAAAAAATGATATACATTGTCTCTTTTATTAAAAACTAGTGTTGGTTCGTGCGATGCACGGAATTTCTGATTTTGAAGATTTCGTTAGCATTTGATATAGAATCTCCATTGAAGTTTAA